ATGGCAACTAAAAGGACTGAAGTGCCATATTTTGAAAGGAGGTGGAAAGAAGAATGTGTCGAAATAAAAAAGTGCGAAAAGTGTTGCTTGTATAGGATTACTTCTTGTGACGTATTATAACCTACAAAGAAATGAAAAGTAAAGTGGCTGATGTTATTTTTGGGGATTGTGGTTTGGGAGGGAGGAGGTTCATCAGGGCCATCATCCAAAATGAAGAGATGTCATTACCATAATCCTACTAGTATATCAAAATTGTAGTAAAAAAACAAGCTTGTTCTAACTTATACTTCAGTTTGGTTAATGTTTCTGTGTAAGGCTCTGTTCTCACAACTTTTAGATCGATCTATCACCGCGGGGAGTCTCACTAGATTACTGTCAGATAATCCGCCTTAAGTGTCCGTCCCCGCCTACAACAAGCTATAAGGGGTAATTAACTTTCGTGTCCGCCCGGCTGACAGCTATTTAGCGTGAACCCCCAGGGAGTTAGGTCGATCCAATGTAGGTCGATCTAATCTATGAGAATGGGGTGTAAGATACAAATTTGAAAATGTCCAAACAGACATGCACATCTTAATCTTAGTCCGTGTGTCTTTGAAATATCTTTGAAATTGATCATTAAATCCTCTGCCAAAATAATTTGAGTGCTGATGAAAATGATGTTAAGGCTTATCCAGTTATTTCAATGACTACCAAATGAAATGATCATTGATGACTTATTAAAAAATTCACAATTTCCTGTTATTAATAGATGATAGAATGCAAATATGCATCTGGGCATTTCAGGAAGAAACCAATATGAGCAAATTGGTCTTACAAAGATTTTGATGAAGGGAAGCTTATTATTTCTTGTCAGTGTGCTCTGCTGGTGCTGAAAATAAACTGCAGGTAAAGATAGAACTGGGAGATGATATACCATGCTCAGGGCCATAAATATGTTCTCCTTCATAGACTTGCATATTTTTAGTGCATCATAGCTTGTATGATGTACAAGCACCTGTGAACCTTAATACATTTAGCTGACTGATCTGTATACCTGCATATGTGCACACATGCACAGCTGAGGCTCTCTCTCTCTCTCTCTCTCTCTCTCTCTCTCTCTCTCTCTCTCTCTCTCTCTCTCTCTCTCTCTTGGATTGGTCTATCACTTGTCAAAAGTATGTTTTCAGGTCTTATTGTAAATATGTAAAGACTCTGATGACTGATAACATTTTCCAAAATGTAGGATAATTTGTCCATTAGGCCCCATTCAGAATAGGGGACTAACTGGTCCGAGGGTCAAATATGGCCAGCCACTACAAAGCTTGTCGTCTAATCTGCTTGTAGACACTGAATAGATATCCCATGGGGAAGTATTCAAGTGGGTCAGCCATATTTGACCCTCAGACTAGTTAGTCCCCTATTCTGAATGGGGCCTGAAAGATAAAATGGTCAAGATGACCATATCAGAAGCAGTGTCAAGGCTTGTACTTTCAGTAACAAACATATTTACAAGTGCTTTCCCAAGATCTAACTTCCTGATTAGATTGTTTGTGAGGAAGGAGCTTGTCATGGTCATATGTCTCTCCAAGATAAAATCGTCATATATTTCTACTGAAGAAAATTTAAATACCTAGGTGCTTATAATTTGAAGGTTAATTGTATAAAAAAGACAATTCATGCAGGGCACCGTATAATATATAGTTCACCGTATAATATTTAGTATTTGATGTGATCAACCATATCATCCTTCTAGCTGACGTTATTTATGTGTATTACTGTTACAAGTGAGTTGTGAGTTGGTTACTTATTTCCTATTTCACAGTTCTAAAGGTTCTTACTGGGATGTTCTTCAAATAATGTCATTGTCAGTGGAAGAGGTGAATGGTACTGGTTTTAAGGCAGTTGGTTCAGAACCAGTCAAGAGTGTCTTTGGGCACATTCAGAACAAAATGATCTGTGGACTAACAGATTCGTGGATCAAATATGGCGCCACCCACTTGAAAGTGTGCCAGGATTTAATTGCTCTGTCCCCACTGGGACGGTGGTATGGGAGGTGGGAATCCATTGTCAAATGTGCACTATAAACTCAGCTCCTAAACAAATTGAGTGTGGGATAAACTGAATTTATCTAATTATCAGTCTTGAATCTGTCTAGTCCGAACAGACCTTTTTACTCCAATATTGAAAAGCTAACTCATGAAGATTCTCTGAAAAAAAAAAATTTTGGCTCAGGTTTCATGATTGTGTTTGCTCTGTTGATTTGTTTCATGCCATTTAAAGGGAGTTAGTTTTAATATGATTGTATTTTCCCAATTGATTTGTTTCTTGTCAATTTAGGGAGTTAATTTCCTATTGTTGACAGAGAGTCGATGTATGTTTGCTGTTTAGGATTGCATTTTCTGCAGGCAAAAGACAAAGATACACATGCTTTAGAAGGCTGAATATTTACCTTACGTACTAGTATGTTATCAAACAGTAATGTCTGAAGTCAGTATTTATTTCATTTTTTGCAAACAATTAGAATTAGATCTGCTTTGTTGGGTGGGGTGGGGGTGAGAGAGAGAGGGGTGGGGTAGGGGTGAGGGTAATGTACTGTTATTAATATCAGTTTTATTTCATTTCTTCCTGACAGCTGAGCTACTAACGTTATTAACATTTCATAGGCATGGCATACACACATTTTATCATGTTGCGTAATATGCCCATTAAGATCACAAGTCATTAAGAAGATGATAAAGAATAAATGTTTTGGTAATTCTAATATATGATAAGAAGCTTGCCAAATTTGTAACTGTTCAAACATTTCACCATATTGATAACACAAAATTAATTCATCGTCATAAACATTTTTAGATCCCGAGTGTCAATTGTGAGTTATTGTTTGCCCAAGTGGATAATAAAGCAAAGAAATACATCAATATTAGCCATTCATCAGCCACTTGTGTCCATGGATTACATGACAGGAGCAAGGGATTGATTGACCTAGTTAGACAGCAAAAGAGCTTGGCTGGGATTAATATTGAAACTTTAAAAAAATAAATCATTCGAGAGCTATTAAGATATTTGAGTGCTGAGAGCCGTGATAGTGTTAGCTGGTTGTGACCTCCAACTTTCTAAGAGCACATTCACAACAGATGATCCGTGCCATTAAACGGATTAAATCTCGGCCCCGAGGTTTAATTGTTAACTTAGATCCCATTTCCAGAGATTAGATCGATCTACTTTAGATCGACCTAACTCCCTGGGGGTTCACGCTAAATAGCTGTCAGCCGAGCAGACATGAAAGTTAATACCCCCTTACAGCTTGTAGTAGGTGAGACGGACATTTAAGCCGGATTATCTGACAGTAATCTAGTGAGACTCCCTGCGGGGATAGATCGATTTAAAAGCTCTGGGAATACAGCCTTAGGCTCCTTGCAGCGATGGTATGTGTGGAGGTGGGGAGACCATCAGGGAGACCATCGGCATCTCTTTTTAAGTGGGGTCAGCCATATTAAGTAAGCAGATCAGTTAGTCCTCGGATCATCTGTTTTGAATGTGCTCTAAAATGGGCTTTAGAAGGGCGAGACTGGTGAATTTCAGAAATTATCACATAACGTTCTGAATTAATTTAAGTAGTGCGATTGGACATGTTGGATTGATAAAGAAATATGCCAAAGAAGGCCATCCACAATTTTACCAAACATATCTTTTAAGGAAGCTATGAGTTACTCAAGGATGGTTTTTGTTCAACCTTCATCATAGAACAAGAGCTTGTTATGTTTGTTGATAAAAGTTGATGTAAAAAAGAAAGATGTTCAACAAAAAACTCAAAACATCAACTGACAATGAAAAAATTGCTTTTTCCTCAGATTTATTGATCATACATTTCAAGAGCTCTATTCAACTGTATGGATATGTGGTTACTCAAATCTGAGTGTGACACATTCACACTAAGTGGAAAGAGAACCCTTCACAATTGATTCGGGTGACGTTGATGCAGGCAGAGTAAACCTGGGCCCGTAACTCAAAACCATCGCGCATTGCGACCGAATGCAAGCGTCTCCATTCCATAACTCACCCATACTCGCCCCATATGGGGGTTACGGAATCGAGACTCTTGTAATTGGTCGCAATTCGTGATGCTTTCGAGTTACGGGGCCCTGATTGTATTCAAGCTGGTGGTTGTCCAGAATCCTTCCTACTTAAAACTTTTTATTGTAGAGGTATAGAGGGACTTACCTTGTCACCTTTGTGCCAATTTACACAGTACTTTTGAGCCTAGCCATGTGTCATTTTGATTGAAATGAAGTAACCATTCTGGTAAAAAGAACTTAAGTGTGAATTTGCCCAGAGATTTTATTGTTTGCCAGACAATTTCTGATAAAACAACATAGAATAATGACACTGTTATCAAGCCCCTCGACCAACTGTGTTTTTATTGCATTGATTTCAGCTCAAGTTGGCAGTATCGGAAATTGGATCTAGTTCCCTAGCACTGAAAATGTTTGTTCTCTAGATTGGGGGTAGAAACCAACTCCTTTGCTTCAATTTATTGTATTAGGATGAAATACTGTAGCCAATTTAGTTAAAAAGTGTGTGGTCCGTTAGACAGTGAATTAATGATACAGATAAGGTTTCAGTTGGAGAATGTTATAAAGATAAATAATATGATTTTGTTAATTCATTATGTGAAAAATCTTGATAAGTGGGAATTTTTTTTACAGAAACAGCCATTTTCATTGTGCTTGAAAGATATAGCAGCAGCAGCAAATAGAATTTTGTACTAGTGTTCTTTGTTCAAGACTAAGTTTAAAATGACTAAAATTTGTACCATACTCATAACTGTATGCTGTATTCACCCTTTACAGTTGTTTAAAAGAAAATATTGTTGCTGTGGTTTAATGCAAAAAAAAAAAAAAAAGCAAACAAACTTAATTTTCTTGTATTTTTCACATCACAATTATTGGCAGTTGAGTATGTATCATTATGTATTAAGGTGTATAATCACAATCTATACTCAATTTATTTATCTTTCACAGCTTGCAGACTTGGGACATGGTAACCATCACACACAAGAAATACAGTATCTGGCAGACATAGTGAAGAACTGTCCCAAAGATCTGGTGAGTCCCCCCCCTCTCTCTCTCTCTCTCTCTCTCTCTCTCTCTCTCTCTCTCCTCTTTTAATTTGCAAATCAAACTGTCTGTTTCTGGAAGTAGAACCTTGAGACCGATTTAGCTTAAGTGGCGTGAGTGTGAAAATATGGTTTTAATTAAATGAGGCCAACAATTTTCGGTGGAGGGGGGAGAGAGAGAGTGAGAGAGAAAGAGAGTAATTAGCATTTTGTACTCTGTTTATCCTAATTTAGTGATTTCCTCTCTTTCTTTTATCATGGTTTTATTTAAAAGAACAATAGGTGCAGCTTGGTTTTGTAGTCTTTGTATCTTAGGTATGATATGCATTTGGGCAGATGCTGCATTGAGATTTGACATAAGCACAATTAACCGGGTNGAAAAGTGAAGCATTAAGTTGGCATGCAGATGTCAGATTTCTTTAAATAAATCTGTAACTCCCCATTTGCAGTGTAAAGAATTACAGTGTTACACAGATAGGGTGACAGTTATGTCTACTGTGACAAGTAAGTAATTCACTTTAGTCATGCAACCGTGATGATTTTTTCACTTCCTCCACTATGCCTGGGGCATTCGGTTTCAGCCGAGTTATTTGACTATTCCCTTCTGAATGAGATAACTTCTTTCCCACAATAATTGACTCTTCGTGGTCCTCTGTGCCAAACCTTTGCATTAGTCTCCGCTGAAGAGCTGTCCCTGGGTGAGAAGATAATCTGACCATGTTAAAAGTGTTTAGAACTGTATCCCGAGTATCTTGTTAAGACCAAGAATCTTGTTTCCACTCAATAATAGACTCGTATATGTTTCGGTTTGTCTTCTTCTCTTGTTTTGTTGAATAATTTATCTTTAATCATGTATATTTACCATTTATTGTAACCAAGACTCTTTAGGTTGTAAGACATGATGGGATATTTTGAGCCTTGTTCCATATAACATAGGTTCAAACATGCACAGTGTATGTCATTAATTATTGTCTAATATTGACTAATTAATCATTTTGAAACCTTTTCTTTTTTTAATACCTGGTGCAGAGAGTGACGTTAGATAGTAAATCAAAACGTTGGGATTCCAGTATGAGAACAGAAAAAGCAGAACAAAAAAAAAAAAAGAAATCCGTTATGAATCCATTGGCCATTGGGTCTGGGCATCCATCAATGGTCATCAAGGTCATTGGCCAGTGGTCAATTTGATCGTTGTCACTGCCAATGGAATACTTGGGGTTATTTTTCCAACACAATCTTGTTGCCTGTATGTGCGAGAGCATGCTGTTGTCATTGCAGTGCCTTTCGTGGGCTCACCAGGTGCGTGTGGATGCATGTCCCGCATCCTTGAACCTGCATTGTTCGGAACAAGGGAGAAATTGCTCCTTTATGTCGGCTGACGGGTAACAAGGTGTAGAAGGCTCCGATTACAAAGATAACTGTTTGTCTGACTGATAATCAGCTATAATGGGGTATCAAGTCCCGGTGTGGGGACTTTATTAAGGGCATTGGGGAGATTTTCTGTTTTAGAATTAAAGGATGAAAATGGTGGATATATTGGAAAGTGAAATAAGATTCTGTAAAATAAAGGATCTAGTTGTGGTGGTTTTGATGCTGTTGTGAAAATGGAATCAGTTAAAATAAAGGATATGATTGTGGTATTGATGTTATTGTGACAATGTTGAGCTGTCATGAGGAATAGAAGTAACTGTTTGGCGTCTCGTAAGTGGAATGTTGGGGAATAGTGAGCATGTTCAGCAGTAAAAGGTTGAGTGGTTCTCCCAGCTACTTCACAAATAAAAACAACGCTACACTAGTTTAAAATGAAAAGAAGATTGTGTTATTTCAAACATTCACTGTATTTATGCATTATGTATTTTTTTACATAAATGAAGAACTAAATCAATCTCGATTACGGATATATATATATTCCCTTGGGCATTTTTGAGCCATTTTGGGTACATACCTTGTCAAGCAACTGCTAGTATTGAATAGTATCAGAGATGAGGACGTGATGAATTCATTCAAAATGTCTCCTTTTTTTATATTGCTGTCTTAACTGCAATGGGAATTAGTTAAGTATTAGTATTAGTAGAGGCCATGTCAAGATAAATAAGATATGGCAGTTAGAATTGTTCAATTGTTAATTTTGCATATTTTCGTTACGCTTCACATTGTTGAAGAAATAGGTATGGGATTAGTGTACACATTTCTCCAGGTATGCCTGTAGAACTCTAGTTTAGGTACTTTCTCTCAGGTTTGAAAAAAAAACTTAGGTTCAAGCTCATTGGAAATTTTGAATTAAGATATCATGTTGCTCCAAATGCCTGCCCTAGTGGGTTTGTAATTTCGCCACTCACAACCAGACTGGCTTATGAAAGTCTGCATTGCTTCGGGCAGATCCTGTGTATAAAAATGCCAGCCTGTCATTTTTGTTGATCTGCCAAGTTGTCAGAGGTTTTTACTGGGGAAGATTGGCCCTCAGGTGATGTGGCATTAATATGTGTATGTACAGCATACAGAAAGGATAAGAAAAAAGAAAACGTGTTGGCGTAGCACAGATAGTGTCTGTTGAGTTGACCTGTTTGTGATGCAACAGAAGATATTGTTTTTCTGATGCTTTTGATGGATTCTCTTCAGACAGGGTTTTTCACATTTTTCATTGACTGCTTTAACTGAAAACTTACCAACAATTGTTTCATGTTTCCGGATGTATATCATATTTTGTCAATTTTTAGTCAGATGAATATAGATAGGTACTGTACATTAGTCTATAGCTATGAACAGAAACAAAGAGATGGTGTCCCTTGTATAAAAGGTCATGATGCTGTTGGCCATTCTTGATAACACTAAGGCATATTTTGGCTTAGTTACGAGTAATGTGTTCAATCCCAAAGGTTTGAATTCTGACGTTGACCTGGTATGGTATTCTATAATTAACATCTAGAGTTTAGGGGACGTTTGACCTCTATATTAAAATCAATGTGGTAGTATTTGTATTGTCACCAAGGCTTTCCCCAGAGAGCTGTCCTGCTGTCATTTGGAAGGCCATTAGCCTCAAAATTTTTAGGTTGGTTAGTGGAGTTTGCTTGGGTTGGACTCCCTGTAAATCAATAACCAAACAACAGACTCCCTGTACCCCAAAATCCTGGGGAAATCCCTGATTGTCACCCATGTAAACAGTAAATATTCTCAAACTATGAGTACCTGATTTATTTTGATTTTTAAGACTCATGATATAACTAAAACAGATTAAAGATTTCTGACTGTTTGGAATTTAAGAATTAAATTTTTTACCAATTAGGAACAGTGTTTATTTTAGAAATCAAATTTGGGGAGAAGTTGCCGTATAGCAGTATTGTTGTGTAAGGTGAGGAGAAGGAACTGTGACCCATATTGCCTTGTGATCTGCAGGGTGGAGAGTTTTTGAAAAAAGAAACGGGGAATATATTTTGAAGGAAATACATCTATGTAGTCTAATGATTCTTACAGTTACAGCTCAAGTTAGAGTAGAAATTGAAATGTTTCAGTTTATAGTTTAAACAGTGGATATATTGCCCAGTATCTAGAATTCAACCTGCATAACAAATGAATATTTTTTTATTACATTGGGATAGAGATATCAAAGGGATATGGGTAAACTTCAAACAGATTAATAAATTCTACCTTCAAAGCTACCTCACCTTAATATCTCCCTTTCTTCACTGGAAATCAAAGGCAGAGCCCCTAGCATATGTTAAGAGTGCGACGTCGCACGTAGCCTTTCAAAAAAACTGTGGTATGTGATAGTCATTTAGGTGATGAGTTAATTTGCACATTTTTTTGTTTTGTAGTAAACATATATCAAAAAATGCAAATGATTTTTAATAAATTTAAGATACCTGTAAAAAATGTAAATTGCAGTGTGAAGCAATTTATAAACCTGGTGAAACTTCTGCGTGTTAACCTTATAATAACTATATAAAAATTGAGCCCTTGGATATGTAAAGTGTGTTATACCTCACAATACAAGGACAGTGTACGGGCGATACGGTGCTGTGCATGGCAGTGGCATGGACGATGTAAAGCGTGGTAGAGTATTTACCCCATTTTCTTTCTCTTTGATGTAGGTTTTCAAAGAAGTGTCTTGCTACCAGCTAAGTGGCACTGAACTGACAACAACCTGAAATGTCACAGAAACAACTTGTTCTCCCTTTATACTCCTTTTAAGGCGTTTTTAAATCAGTTTTAACCAAATTAGCTGTAGGTGTTATTGAGAAAACAGATGCTGTATTGTAACTCCCCTCTCTTTCTTGTCGTTTTAACAACTCTAGTTTACCTTATAATTAAGTGTTTTCCTAGTTACCATTTCAGAGATAATTTTGTTTTAAATTTAAATTTAAATATTTTTAGTTCATTTTTTTATTATTACGATGTGATCAACCATATCATCCTTGTAGCTGACGTTATTTATGTGTATTACTGTTACAAGTGAGTTGCCCTCTGGTCCGTTCAATTTCTCCAGCATTACGACTTCCTGTTCTGCTTGGAAATAAGTCAAAACACAAGGTAAACTAGACTTCCTCAATTATATAGGTAGTTCAGTTATTTTGCTCATATTTTGGCAGCAAAGTTGCTGCTGACGATTTTTTGTGCAGAAAATAATGATGTGTGTCAGGGTTAGGGTTCGAGCAACCAGGAAAAGTGAAAAGGTTTTATTGTGAGCGACCAGGGATGTAAAATATCATTTCCTCTTGCCAGCGAATTGTGTCATTGCTGTAAGTTGTAATATTGCTACAGTTTAAGATAAAGCCTCAGAACGTCATATGCTGTCAACTTACAGTTTGCTGAGATAGAATCTACTAAGTTGAGCTGTCACAGTGTGGTTGGAAACACGGCCTAATTTACTAACATGTCCCCAACTCAGCATGATGGAAAATACATCTGAGCTACATGTGTTCTTGCTTACTAGTGAATGGAGATCACACTTGGTAAAGTGAAAAACTTGAGCACTTTGAGAGAGCCATATAT